ATGTTCTGTCTATACCTAGTTTATTCAGAGTTTTTACATTAAGGACTGTTGAATTTTGTTGAAGGCCTTCTCTGCACCTATTGAGATGATCATGTGGTTTCTGTCTTTGGTTCTGTTTATGTGGTGAATTATGTTTATAGATTTGAGTATGTTGAACCAGACTTGCATCCCCGGGATGAAGCCTACTTGATCATGGTGATATGCTTTTTGATGTGCTGTTACAATCAGTTTGCCAGTATTTTATTGAAGAATTTTGCTTCTATGTTCATCATGGATATTGGCCTGAAGTTTTCTTTTCATGCTAAGTCTCTGCCAGGTTTTGGTATCAGGATGATGTTGGTCTCATAAAATGATTTGGGAAGGATTCCTTCTTTTTGGATTGTTTGGAATAATTTCAGAAGTGGTACCAGCTCCTCTTTGTATGTCTGGTAGAATTCAGCTGTGAACCCATCTGGACCTGGGCTTTTTTTTGTTGGTAGGCTATTAATTGCTACCTCAACTTTAGACCATGTTATTTGGTCTATTCAGGGTTTTGACTTCTTCCTGGTTTAGGTCTGGGAGGGTGCAAGTGTCCAGGAATTTATCCATTTCTTCTAGGTTTACTGGTTTATGTGCATAGAGTTGTTTGCAGTAATCTCTGATGGTAGTTTGTATTTCTGTGGAATTGGTGGTGATATCCCCTTTTTTGTTTTTTGTTGCATCTATTTGATTCTTCTCTCTTTTTTATTAATCTGGCTAGTGATCCATCTATTTTGTTGATCTTTTCAAAAAACTAGCTCCTGGATTTATTAATTTTTTGAAGAGTTTTTGTGTCTCTCTATCTCTTTCAGTTATGCTCTGATCTTAGTTATTTCTTGTCTTCTGCTAGCTTTTGAGTTTTTTGATCTTGCTCCTCTAGCTCTTTCAATTTTGATGACAGGGTGTCAATTTTAGATCTTTCCTTGATTCTCATATGGGCGTTTATTGCTAAAAATTTTCCTCTAGATACTGCTTTAAATGTGTCCCAGAGATTCTAGTATGTTGTGTCTTCGTTCTTGTTGGTTTTGAAGATCTTTATTTCTGCCTTCATTTCATTGTTTATCCAGTTCACATTCAAAAGCCAATTGTTTGGTTTCCATGAAGTTGTCCAGTTCTGAGTTAGTTTCTTAATCCTGAGTTCTAATTTGATTGCACTGTGGTCTGAAAGACTGTTATGATTTCCCTTCTTTTGCATTTGCTAAGGACTGACTGACTTCCAATTATGTGGTCAGTTTTAGAGGTGTGATGCGGTGCTGAGAAGAATGTATATTCTATGGATTTGGGGTAGAGAGTTCTGTAAATGTCTGTTAGATTTGCTTGGTCCAGATCTGAGTTCAAGTCCTGGATATCCTTGTTAATTTTCTGTCTCTTTGATCTCTCTAATATTGACAGTGGAGTCTAAGTCTCTTTGTAGGCCATTAAGAACTTGCTTTATGTATCTAGGTGCATATATATTTATGTATTGTGTATATTGCTTTATGTATTAGGTGCATATATATTTGGGATCATTAGCTCTTCTTGTGGCATTGATCCTTTTACCATTATGTAATGCCCTTCTTTGTCTCTTTTGATCTTTGTTGGTTTAAAGTCTATTTTATCAGACACTAGAATTGCAACTCTTTTTTTTTTTCTCCTCCATTTGCTTGGTAAATCTTCCTCCATCCCTTTATTTTGAGCCTATGTGTATCCTTGCACATGAGATGGGTTTCCTGGATACAGCACACCAATGGTTTTTGACTTTTGATCCAATTTGCCAGTCTGCGTCTTTTGATTGGGCCTTTAGCTCATTTACATTTAAGGTTAATATTGTTATGTGTGAATTCCATCCTGCCATTTTGATGCTAGCTGGCTGTTTTGCCCATTAGTTGATGCAGTTTCTTCATTGCGTCAATGCTCTTTGCCATTTGGTATGTCTTTGGAGTAGCTGGTACTGGTTGTTTCTTTCTATGTTTAGTGCTTCTTCCAGGAGCTCTTGTAAGGCAGGCCTGGTGATGATGAAATCTCTGAGCAATTGCTCGTTCTTAAAGGATTTTATTTCTCCATCGCTTATGAAGCTTAGTTTGGCTGGATCTGAAATTCTAGGTTGAAAGTTCTTTTCTTGAACTTTCTTAAAGGATGTTGACTATTGGCCCCCACTCTCTTCTGGCTTGTAGGGTTTCTACTGAGAGATCTGCTATGAGTCTGTTGGGCTTCCCTTTGTGGGTAACCTGACCTTTCTCTCTGGCTGCCCATAGCATTTTTTCCTTCATTTAAACCCTGGTGAATCTGATGATTATGTGCCTTGGGGTTGCTCTTCTTGAGGATATCTTTGTGGTGTTCTCTGTATTTCCTGGACTTGAATGTTGGCCTGCCTTGCTAAGTTGGGGAAGTTCTCCTGGATAATATCCTGAAGAGTGTTTTCCAGCTTGGATTCACTCTCTCCATCACATTCAGGTACACCTATCAAACGTCAATTAGGTCTTTTCACATAATCCCATATTTCTTGGAGGCTTTGTTCATTTCTTTTTACTCTTTTTTCTCTAATCTTGCCTTCACATTTTATTTCATTGAGTTGATCTTCAATCTCTGATATCTTTTCTTCTGCTTGGTTGATTGGGCTATTGAAACTTGTGTATGCCTCATGAAATTCTTGTGTGGTATTTTTCAGCTCCATCAAGTCATTTATGTTCTCTAAGCTGTTTATTCTCGTGAGCATTTCATCTAACATTTTTTCAAGGTTCTTAGTTTCTTTGCATTGGGTTAGAACATGTTCTTTTAGCTCAAAGGAGTTTGTTATTACCTACTTTCTGAAGCCTGTTTCTGTCAATTCATCAGACTCATTCTCTATCCAGCTTTGTTCCCTTGCTGGTGAGCAGTTGTGATCCCTTGGAGGAGGAGAGGGGTTCTGATTTTGGATATTTTCATCCTTTTTGCACTTGTTTCTTCCCATCTTTGTGGATTTATCTACCTGTGGTCTTTGTAGTTGGTGACTTTCAGATGGGGGTCTCTGAGTGGACATCCTTTTTGTTGATGATGAAGTTATTTCTTTCTGTTTTTTAGTTTTCCTTCTAACAGGGCCCTCTGCTATAGGACTGCTGGAGGTCCACTCCAGACCCTGCTTGCCTGAGGATCACCTGTGGCAGCCTCTGCGTTCTCGCTGGGAACTGCACTCCAGAGCTGTTCCTATTTGTCCATCTTGAAGAACAGTCATAGCTGTGCTTTTTAACATATGTTTACGGCTGGTCTCAGACTACAATGGCAGAGTTGATTGGCTGTGACAGAGACCATTTTGCCACAAGTTAGTTTCAAAATGAAAAGGTCTGACAACCTTTGGAGTATGTATAAAAGCTGATTGACTCAAATCTCAATTTTAAATGTTCATAAGCTACCCCAATTGGAAAATACAGTTCACCAAAGAAGATATACAGGTAGCAAATAAGCCCATACAGGATGTTCAACATTATTAGTCCTTAGAGTAATGCGCATTAAAACCATAATGATATGAATACATATCCATTATAATGGCTGAAATTTCAAAATTAAAAAAACAGCAATAATAAGATCTTGAGATGCTACAGAACAACAGGAAATGTCATATACCTCTGGTTGGAATGGAAAATCAATTCAAATACCTTGGGAAATAATTCAGCAGGTTTTTTTTTTGGGAAATAATTCAGCAGTTTTTTTTTTTTAATTTTTTATTGCATTTTAGGTTTTGGGGTACATGTGCAGAACATGCAAGACAGTTGCATAGGTACACACATGGCAGTGTGTTTTGCTTCCTTTCTCCCCTTCACCCACATTTGGCATTTCTCCCCAGCTCCCCCCCCCCCGCTGGCCCTCCCCTTTTCCCCCCAATAGAACCCAGTGTTAAGTACTCCCCTCCCTGCGTCCATGTGTTCTCATTTTTCATCACCTGCCTATGAGTGAGAATATGCAGTATTTCATTTTCTGTTCTTGTGTCAGTTTGCTGAGAATGATGTTCTCCGGATTCATCCATGTCCCTACAAACGACACAAACTCATCATTTCTGATTGCTGCATAATATTCCATGGTGTATATGTGCCACATTTTCCCAATCCAGTCTATCATCGATGGGCATTTGGGTTGATTCCAGGTCTTTGCTATTGTAAACAGTGCTGCAATGAACATTCATGTGCATGTGTCCTTATAGAATGATTTATAGTCCTTTGGATATATACCCAGTAATGGGATTGCTGAGTCAAATGGAATTTCTATTTCTAAGGCTTTGAGGAATCACCACACTGTCTTCCACAATGGTTGAACTAATTTACACTCCCACCAACGTCAGCAGTTTCTTAATAAAGGAATACCAAGGGACAGGAAAAGACTTTGATGGATGATCAACATGCTAACTCTCAATTATGGTGACGGTTTCTGATGTCCATGCAACTGCGCATTTTATATATGTGCAGTCTATAGTGTGTCAGTTATACCTCACTGAAACTATCGACTGCTGGAACAATAATCTAAGACACTGGGTGGGACACAGAGAAAGAGAAGGGTAAAAGCGATGCAGGATAAAGCTAGAGGATTCAGATCTCTAACCTTATAGCAATGAGTAGTAGCAGCTGAGTTATAAGCAAAGGAATAACATGATCAGATCCGAATCTTTAAAAACATATCATTATGATTGCAGAGTAGACCATGGTTTTAGGAGGTAGGGTATTAGGGAAAAGAGTTCTAGGATTCCTAAGATTCCTGCAGCATTCCAGGTGGGAAAAAATGGTAACCTGACATTGGGGGAAGGCACAGGAGAGAAACAGAGCCCACAAAAAGACTGGGAGTGCCATTCACACCCAGAAAAGTACAGTGGAGTTATCATAGCTCTTTGGTGTACAGTATACATTTGTTCTCTTTTTACTTTAACACTGAGCATATTTCTGAGATGAGCTTCACTATCATGCATCAGTTCTCAGCAATGTATACACACATTACTGCAGGACACATTAAAAGGCCTTGCATTTATGCAATGGTCCTACTTTTACACTTCATTCTAAGTTGTTCAATCCACAACAAAAAATTCTCATAAGTATAGTCAGACAACTTGCATTCTGAGTCTGTTTCAGATGGTCGCACTGAGTCAGCAAAGTCAGCCCCAGGATGTATTTGGTTTTTGACCTATGAGATAAATAATACTGTTTCACAATGTCCTAGAAAGATTTATAACATGTGCTAAATGTACAGAAGTGGTATTTCTCCACTGTTTTTTTGTATGAGCAAAAACACAGTTACTTCTTAAAGAAACAGATTGTTCTTAGAAGGTACAGTTATCAATGGCTGTTTTTTAATCACTTTTTCTAAGCAAACAGCTTTATAACAAAACATTCTTTTTTTCCACCTTACCTTTTAAATGTTTTTTTTAAATAATATTTTAGATCATTTACTTTTTTTTTTACAATACCTGGTTCTTTTCAGTAGATGTTTTACTTTCAGCCCTGAAAAAAGAAACAATTCCTATTATAAAAATAGCAAAGATGTAAAATATAAAGCATATCTAATACTATTATTTTATCATATAAAATATCTGCATTTGTATTACTTCTGCTATTCATCAAGTGCACAGGTAATTTTTTTACAGTTAATGCAAAATACAGTAATTTTCTACAACGGACATTAAATTATAAACAGAAACACTGACATTAAGGGATAAAGAAATTTACTACACCACAAATAATTAAATTTAGGTCCAGCTTTCTGAGAGTAAAACCAAAAGAAAAAAACATGTTACCTGCATTATGTGATAAAAAGATATACATCAGGTTCTTCTCATTGTTGTCCTTTTCAATAAAAACAGTGTTTACAGGCCCTAAAACCTATTTGGAAAATATTACTCACATTCTTATATAAGAGAAATCCCTTTTTTAATGATGATATGTTAGCTTTTTCTGGACTTACTATGCAGGTACTATGCATCATTCTAAGCACTGTCCGTGTGTCAAACTCATATCATCCTTTTAACAATGTGAGGTTGGTAATACTGTGAGGTTGGTAACATATTAGGTATTTTATAAAGAAAATAGGCACAGAAAGGCCCCATGACTCTCCTCAGCCGATACAGCTGGCCAGTAGCAGACCCAGCACTCAAACCCAAGAATTCTACCTCAAAAATATGTTTCATGAGATGCTGTAAAGGTAACCTTTATTTTCAAGTGTTTTAAAGAGATATGACAGCAGATTAATCCACACTGTCATTCCATTTCTAACTACAACTATAAATAATAATTTCAGAATCTTGCAATTTTTTAAAATAAAAACCTGTATACAGAGGGCCAGTTCGGAAACCTACTTTCAAAAAAACTAAAAATCATTTTTAATGAAATTCATCAATAGGCATTCCTTCATGTATTCACCCATTTATTTGCACATTTAACAAATAAATACTAACTGAGCACACAATACATCCTGATGTCAATGCTGGTCCAGGGAAACATGGTGTTTTGATACTTTAGAACTTTAGAATCCACTGTGGGTCAACTTGATTAAATGTTTTTTAAACTCTATAATCAAGAAGTAATAATCTGTGATAGACTGTCAACAATTAGCTTTTCTAAAGTACTTGAACAAAACCCTCCCCTTCTCCCCAGAAACTAAACAACTCTAAAGTTGATACACCTGACATTTTAGAGTACCTTAGCAAATCATACCTATTCATCAAGGGATGTTAAAATTCTGTTCAGTATGGCCTAAGTGTTCGCATGTTTATAATTTCACAATTTAAAAAAATTTATATATAACAGTTTGAATTTTAGTTCACATTTACATGCTCAGTTAGACTAATGATACATTTCTGAAGCAATGCTGAAAGAACAAACTCTTACCATAAAACTCTATATGAATAAACATTTTAAGGACAATTAGTTGCTAAAAGCCTATAAAAGATAATGAGTCAAGCTTTCAAGCACTGAGACATGCAAACAAAACTAAATCTCATAAACATGCTCTTCTTTCATGATCATTACCAGCATCATACAAACACACTCTCAAAGCTTCTATTTTTAAAGAAAAAAGAAAGAAAAGTCCCTGAATTCCATATTCTTCTTCAGTTATCACCCATTTCTCTACTGTCTTTCCCAGGAAACATTCCCTCAAGGTGTGTCTATGCTTATCCACGATAGTCAGGGTTCCACAGCAATTATTTATTGAAACTGCTCCTTGTCAAAGTCACCAGCCCTCAGAATAATCGGTCTTTCAGCGTTGATATAGTTGAGTATCCTCTAGCTTTGGCAGTCTACACTATTCCATTTCCAGAAAAAGTAACCACTGCAAATGTTCCTTCTCAGAGAAATAAAGAACGTTTAAATTTTACCTCCTTTCATCCTCATCTATTTCACTTAAACCACTGTCATCATCTACTTGCAGCAGACCATGAGTTACTAAATTAGCCTTCTCAAACATTGGTGTAATCACATTATTTTGAGGTCCATTTTTTATTTTCATTTTTCTTTACTTCCTTCATATGTAAGGCAGAACCACAACTTTTAAAAAAATCTGGCCAGGTGCAGTGGCTCACGCCTATAATCCCAGCACTTTGGGAGGTTGAGGCAAGTAGATTATAAGGTCAGGAGATTGACCCATCCTAGCCATGGTGAAACCCCGTCTCAACTAAAATACAAAATCATTAGCCAGGCATGGTGGCATGCACCTGTGGTCCCAGCTACTCAGGAGGCTGAGGCAGGGGAATCACTTGAATCCAGGAGACAGAGGCTGCAGTGAGCCAAGATTGGGCCACTGCACTCCAGCCTGGCAAAAGAGCAAGACTCTGTCTCAAAAAAAAAAAAAAAATCTATAAAAAGCCAATGTTTTATAATAATTCTACTGATAACACATAAAAAACAATTTTGTAAAATTTCAACTCTTCCCTATCTCAATTCATTAATTTTAAAAACACAGTTATAAATTACCAACATAAATAGAAATATATATTTCCTGCCTCAGAAAACAAGTAATATACAATTACAATACAATGTGTCATTTACGAGTTGATATATGAAAAGTTATATTTTAGCACAAGAAAGGCTTTACAGAAGAGGCAAAATAGGAGCTCACCAGGGAAAAATAGAGAAAACGACTCCACTCGGAGAACAGAATGACAGCACAAAGATTAGTCCCATGGAGTCTAGGTGTTTCCTAGGAACTTGCAAAGAAGAGTGTAAAACACAAGGAAACTAAGACTGGAAGATGAATGCTACATCAGACAGCTGGAGCATACAGACAATGACTCTTAGACATGAAACTCGTAATTAGATCTGTTCTATGTTTTGGGTTTTGTTTTTAAATAGAATAATATTTAAACAGTTTAAACAAGGTTTTAAAAATAACAAGTACATATTACATTAAAGAAATCAGGAAAATGTCTTGGGAAGAAAAAAATCTTACCGATAAAATTCTTAAATGTCAGTGTATACAGTTCAAAAATAGCAATATTTTTATTAGTTACAGAAGTTTGTTTGAAAATAATTTGGTAAATTTTCCATATGTTTAGTCTAGTTTTTAGTCTTAACACAGAAAGCTGAATTTGCCAGCAGAAAATTGTAATGACTTTTTAATGAAGTAAACACATGGCATCACTACCGCTGCATGGAACAGAAAGTGAACAACAAAATAGATGAAGGAATAAAGAAAGTGTCACTATCATACAGCTACACACATTAACAAAGAGACAAACATTTACCACTGGAGATTATGTTAGGAGTTTAGCAGAAGCCTCTGAAAATACCAAAAACTGAAACAAAATAATAATTGCTGTTTGCTTTTAACTATGTAGAGAACTCTCTGGTTAAGACTAAGCATAAAAAAAAAAAAAAAAAAAGAGAGAGAGATCTTGCTGAGACCAATTATTAAACAATTCCTCTTGACCCATACATCCAAATTAATTACATAGTTCTGGAATATGAAATCATTTTCATTTCGATCATAGTTGATGGAAGGCAACTTTTAAATAGAAAACTGCAGTTTAAAGTTGCCTCAGACTTAGGAAAGAACTGACCTGTAGCATGGTAGTAACAAGCAACCACCCACAGCCAGTTCTAAATCCAGTCAATCAATCAACCAGCATCAATGTGGGCCACTTGCTTCTGAAAGACAGGCAATCAAACACAAACTTACTCCAATCCACAAGCCTGGGAGTGCTGACCAACCCACAGCAGCCTCGCTCACATAGCCATGTTTCTCCAGATCATGTCAACCCTCTTATGCCCTGAGAGTCTGCCAATCCTTCAAGTCCCCTCCTCCCACCACCCTTTGTAAGAGCCACAGCTGCTCAGAGTGCCTGATCAGCACAGCTCTCTGGTAGAAAGCAATACATTCCGACCTGGTCTTTTAACTTCAAATACTGAAGGTTCATAATTGCTTGGAAACAATTTTTAAGTCCATTAAATTTACCACCCTTATATTTTTTCTTTATAAATTACCAGCGAAGTTTGTAATTCCTTTGATCCATTTTATCATAAGTAAAACTATCATGATTATTACTAAAACAGTAAATACTGAGTAACCACAATATTGAGCTTTACTCTCTAAATAAAAAACTATTAATATAAAGAATGCAGCCTATTATAAAGAGCTAAAAAAAATCCAAAAAGGCATATAATTGCCAAGCAAAAGTGTTAGAATGAACCCATGTCAAACCTTTTTTTATTTCTTTTCTTTTTTTTTTCTTTTGAGACAGCCTCTCACTCTGTCACCAGGCGCCAGGCTGGAGTGCAGTGGCACAACCTCGGCTCACCACAACCTTTGCCTCCTGGGTTCAAGCAATTCTCCTGCCTCAGCCTCCTGAGTAGCTGGGACTACAGGTGCACACTACCACGCCCAGCTAATTTTTTGGATTTTTAGTAGAAGACGGGGTTTCACCATGTTGGCCAGGATGGTCTCGATCTCTTGACCTCGTGATCCACCCACCTTGGCCTCCCAAAGTGCTGGAATTACAGGCATGATCCACTGTGCCCGGCCTTTCTTTCTTTTTTTTCTTTTTTTTACATGAGATCAGTCTAATGTTTTTAAAATACACCAAAGGGTAAACTTCACTTGCTCATTTAGTAAGTATTTGTTGAGTAGCTACTTATTGCATGCTAGGCCCTTTTCTAGGCACACAGGATATGGTAGTGAACAAAAATCCTTCTCATGAGAGTGAAATAAACACACAATGACAGTAGATAGATTAGGCAAATATATGTTAGAGGGAAAAACTGAAGCAGGAAAACGAAATGTTTACAGGTTTGAGAGGAGAAGTGGTGAGAATTTTAGGATGGCCAGAAAAGTCCTGACTGAGAAAGGGGCTTTTAAGTAGAGAACGGAAGGAATGGAAGGAGAAAGCCAGGAGGCTATCTGAGGAAAAGGCATCCCAGACACAGGGAACTGCCCAGTACAGAGGTATGCCTGGAGTGTTTAAGCAACAGTGATATATAAGGAAGAGCAAGAAGTTCAGTGTGGCTGAAGCAGAGCAAAGGGAGTAAGAAACAGATATTTAAGTTGAGAGAGGGGTATTAGGAGGAACCCTGACACATACTCAGAGTGAAATGGGAGGCAATCAGATGGGTCTGAGCAGAGGAATGACATCATCTGACTTAGGTTTTAAAGACGGCCACTGAGTTAAGGATTGATGAAAAGAAGATTCTTTTAAGAAAACAGAAAGACCAATTAACAGTCTATTACATGCAACTACACAGCAGATGGTGGTGGCCTGGACATGGAAGATACAACTGGCTCCTGGACATATTCTTCAGGTACTCCTGACAAGATCTGCTGACAGATTAGACATGAGGTGTCAGAGAGAGAGCTAAGTCGAGGATGACACTTTGGTTTCTAGCAGAGCAACTGCAAGAGTGCCATGAGTGCAAGTAGGAAAGACTATGTGAGGGTAGGTATGAGAAAGAACACTGGTACCCCAAACTTGGACCTGGTAAGTTTGTGATACCCAACAGTTTGTGATCAACCAAACAGAGATGCCAGGCTAGTATAGAAGTCTGGAATTAAGGAGAGAGATCGAGGCAGGAGACACGCATTTGGAAATCTTAGTACACTCAAGGTAGTAAGCCATGAGAAAGAAGATTGAGGACTGAGCCCTGGGACACATCAATGTGCAAAATGTGGGATATGAGAAGAAACCAAAACATTATGGCAGATGGACTAGAAAGGCAGCAAGAAAAGCCAGGTGAGTGAGGGAGATCCTGAAAGCCAAGTGAAGACACTGCTATGGAGGAGAGAGAGGTTTCCATCAGGTGCGATATTGCTGACAGGTTAAATAAAATGAGGTCTAAGAAACAATGTCTAGATTTGCTGAAGTGAAAATCAGTGGTAAACTTGAGAACAACAATCTTGGAAGAGTGGTGGGAGTGAAAATGACTGGTGTCAGCTCAAGAGTGAATGGACAGGAAATCTGATTCCATGAGTATAAACCATTCTTTCAAGGCCAACATACCTAGGGACATGACGCAGATGACCTGATTTTCTTCTTGTTTAGCTGTACTTTTCAATTCTTATATTACTATGTAGTATATTTTTACCCTTTAAAAGTTTTTAAAATTATGTCTATATGGTATTTTTGCAATGCCAGATCAAGGTATTGAATAAAAAATTCATGAAGTTTAGAACCAAAAGATTGAACTTTTCTAGATGATATCCGCTGATTATCATTGTGCTCATGCTTATACATAAAGATCAAGGAAGACTAAAAGTTTCAGAAGAAGTATTTCTTGCTTGATAAAAATCATCCAACTCTAGAAGTTGTTATACTCATCAAATATAAATAAACAATAGTCAAAATATGGAATTCTATTAACAGGAATAAAAGGGGACAAATGCAGAAAACAATCTTATTTTGTAAACCAAATTTGTTGAAATTATATGAAGCCACTGTTGAAAAATACAGTGTGCTGCCTACTGAAATATATTATCTTTTAAAAGGAAGGATAATGGCATGCATGTAGGGCACCTTTAAAAAGAGGATTCACTGGCCGGGTGCGGTGGCTCATTCCTATAATCCCAGCACTTTGGGAGGCCGAGGTGGGTAGATCACGAGGTCAAGAGATCCAGACCATCCTGGTCAACAAGGTGAAATCCCGTCTCTACTGAAAATACAAAAATTAGCTGCGCATGGTGGTGCACACCTGTAGTCCCCGCTACTCGGGAGGCTGAGGCAGAAGAATTGCCTGAACCCAGGAGACTGAGGTTGCGGTGAGCCAAGATCACACCACTGCACTCCAGTCTGGGTAACAAGAGCAAAAAACTCCGTCTCAAAAAAAAAAAAAAAGAGGACTCACTGCATAAGAGCACCTTGGTTTTAGCACAAGGGTCAGCAAATTGGCGCTTGTGGGCCAAATCCAGACCGCTGCCCGTTTTCACGAGGAAATTTCCTTGAAACTTTACAGCCGCACTTACTCACTTTATAATCCACAAAGCCTGCAATATTTACTAACTGGCTCTTTACAAAAAGGGCTGCCTAACTCTTGGTTCAGTACGTCTAAGATCCTCTGATGTATTTTAGCAAGTTTTACCCGATATACTGAAACGCTTATGTGGAATATGAATCCCTTTGTGCAATCCCTTGGCAATATACAGATTAATTTGAGGGTCTGGTATTTTAGCACTCACACACTGAGAACAAAAACCAAAAATTTAATAACTAGCAGTTCTGTTGCTAACAAGGTACACTGTCAGTGCAGCATGTAGCTAGCTTCCTTTTGTAACTAAGCAGATTATTATGAGAATTTCAGCAAAACTGGCTTAAGATGTGTCACCAAACTGAATGCACACTTTGTGAAATAATCAGGACACTCTAGATCTAACACCTTCGTTTATTAAAATGACTGCATACTACATGATTTTCTAGGTATGATAATTGTACTATTTCCTTATTGCTAAGGATTTAGCCTATCTCCCAACTTTTTGATATTACCATGCTATAATAAATATCTTTATACATAAGTACATATGTAACACATATAAATAACCTTAATGTACATATGTCATACTTACTATATATTTACCCATTCGCCTGCTGTATATTATATACTTCATGTAATAAATGTCCTTAACGCATATGTGTATGTGTTTACACAAGTAATATTTTCCTCTGGGCTCTCATCCCAAAGGAGAAGCCATTAAAAGAGTGACGTGTTTGGAATTCTGATGCATGCTACTGAACTACCCTGCAAAAGGAGTTCCCAATTTCATTTAACAACCGTATGAAAATGCCTTTTTCCTCATATTTCCCAATGCTTCCTATTTTTTTAAACAAAAAATATGATTGGAAAACTGGCATCTCATTGTTAATTTGCATTTTTCTGATAACCAAAAAAGGCTAATATCCTAGTAAAAGCATAAAATTCGTTCATCATGAATATTAGCCAAAATTAGAATTCATTTCCTAGCACATAATTGTCTCTCTCTTTTTTTTTTATGGAGTTTTGCTTTTGTTGCCCAGGCTGGAGTGCAATGGCGCAATCTTGGCTCACTGCAACCTCCACCTTCTGGGTTCAAGTGATGCTCCTGCCTCAGCCTCCCGAGTAGCTGGGATTACAGGTATGCACCACCACACTCAGCTAATTTTGTATTTTTATTAGAGATGGGGTTTCTCTGTGTTGGTCAGGCTGCTCTCAAACTCCCAACCTCAGGTGATTCGTCCACCTCAGCCTCCCAAAATGCTGGGATTCCAGGCCTGAACTACCACACCCGTCCAGTTGTCTCCTGTTAAGTGTTGCTGTACCTGTCATGCACTTCATTCTCCTTCCTAGGAAACGGCTGATTAAGTCCATCATCATCACTGCCAGCAGCGGCACCACCAGTTAGGCTTCCAGATAATTCCGTGTTATTACTTGTGTGCTGCTTCATTTCTTCTTCGACCTTGAGTGAGAGTTTGATGTTAAGGATGATTGTTATTACTTTATTCAATACAAAGAATTTTGTTCTGTTTTCATTGATTTCATCACTTGACTCAGTTTACTTATCATAATTTTAGTCATTAAAATACTTTGTGCTTACTTTAATTTTATCATATCTAAAACTATAATAGAATTATAATTATTATAATTGTATCATCAACAGTTTTGTAAAGTCAGCTTTATTTCTGCTTCAATCAATGAGACAGAATTTTCCAAAATTTCAACAAGTGCCCTTCTTAATTTTGTGCTTTTATTCCCAACCACCCTTCACCATGTATTATGAATTTTTACCTCATTTGACTGGCACAAAGACATAAATAAGAAGACAAAGACACAAAGCATGTCTTCTTCTGTCTTTACCACTTGGCTTCAACATTAGCAGCCAGACTGAGAGGATGTGACACTGTAGGGCTTCAGGAACAGAAAGGAAGCTTTCTCTTTTCTGCACTAAGCTATTCTTTTCCCCCATTAACTTTTGTCATTTTTTTTTCATTTGAATCCTGGGATGTCAAAGCTCACTGAAATACAAGTCTGCCTCAACACAAAAAGCAGAGTGAAACTGCTAAGCTGCTAGTGTGGAATTACGGAAATGAGATGCTTCCCGAATTTCACATTCAACAGCCATAAAAGTTTGTGGCTGGAGGATATATAGTATAAGAATCTACTTTAGCCCACTATCTATTGATAACTGGAACAAAGCCAAAAAAGATTTGGGCTATCTTAAATTACTAAAGCAAAGCAAACAGTATTAAACCAGAAATTTAGATTTAATTTAAATGTTTACACACCTGTGGCTGCTTATTTTCACATCCTTTAAGTCTTCCTTCCTCTTCCTCCGAGGGCAGCTCCAAGTCTTGTTCTTCTGCAAAATCCAAATGTTTAGTTAAACGACTTAGAAGTTAGATAAAAGAGAGAGTCTTTACAAAAATAGATTCTAAATTATGTTTCATTTTAAGACGGAGTCTCACTCTGTCACCCAGGCTAGAGTGCAGTGGCACGATATTGGCTCACTGCAACCTCCGCCTCCTGGGTTCAAGCAATTCTCCTGCCTCAGCCTCCTGAGTAACTGGGATTATAGGTGCATGCCACCACTCTTGGGTAATATTTGTATTTTTGGTATAGATGGGGTTTCACCATGTTGGTCAGGCTGGTCTTGAACTCCTGACCTCATAATCTACCTGCCTCAGTCTCCCAAAGTGCTGGGATTATAGGCGTGACCACAGAAACAGTCCCACATCCTGATGTCTCCCATAAACACACTATGTATTCAGGGCTTATTATATTTTATATGTTCTATGCTTGCAATTCATTGAGATAAGTTTAATTAACTACCATCTCTCACTTTTCTACATTTTTTTTTAAAGCAGACAAGTTAGGACAAACATTTTATTATTAAAATAAACACTTTTGTATAAAAGCATTACAGATCAACAGCTGTATTTACACTTACAGATTCAAGGTCCAATCACACATCAAACACTGATTGGGTCAGCAATGGTTTACTCATGCAAGTAAATTGGACACACAAACACTTAGATTCCTCCTCTACCAAATAACCTGATTAATGCAAAGAGGCAGGGGAATACTGACACGGGAAACCTGTCCAGAAACTAGACTGGCAGAGATGTCAGGTTAACAAACTACTGAAAGTTACATCTCCAAAAAGGCACTTCTCATTCTTACAAAAGTGCTTAAAATCTAAACTTGAACCCTGAGCCTAGGTTTATAAATTTTCAAGAAACTGTAAAGAACCACAGACCAGTTTTTAATATCAAGTTTCCAAGCAAAATTGTCCAAGAATTTATTTGCAGTACCTTACATGTAAACTGAAATAAACTTGGCAAACTACAATCATACTAAAGTTTTATACCAAAAATTCAAATCGGCCTACTGGTAATTTCCAGATAGCTTTTCTATCACAATTTTAAGTATTACTTGCCCACCAACCTTTGGATCATGATTGGGTAAGCTAGACGCACCACTTACCCTTCAGGCACCAGAAATTAAGTCTCAACTGTGACAACAACTTGTAACATAAGCACAATACATGGGTTTGAGAGGCATCTGAAGTAATGTACTCCAATCTGCAGTAATCACCTAATTTCTCCACATGGTTTTAAGACTTCTGTGCCTTGATTCTATTAAAAATTTCAACTAGTATGAATGCTATATCATACTTGTTTTTATGTAAACAAGTTAGAAGGCTGTTCTCTGAAATTCTCTAGTTAGTTAATTCTATTACTGTGTTTCTAAGTGCTTAGCTTTTATGAGGGTTATTTCAACACCAAGTAAATAAAATACGCTTTCATAAAACTATAAAGGAAATTACAAAACTAAGTGGCTAGAGGGGACCACTGGAAATGGAGGGCGATGCTATGAGGTGGGGGTTGGGAGCAGAGAAGAAACTGCAGGAAGGCAAAGTGTAACTAGTAATATACCTTCCGTGATGCTCCAGAAACAAGTCGACTGAGATTACCTTGATTGGAGTTTCTTATAAAACAGGCTGATCATCAAGACCCTTGACTCAGGTTTCAGTGAAAAAATTGGAAACTTTAACAAGAAAGATTTGAGAAGCAGAAGGCAGGTCGTGAGTTTTCCAGATATTATGCTTGCATTTCAAATTCCTGTTTCAGACTTTTCAAGTAGGCATGCACATTCCCAAAGCCATGATATTTGGCTAAATACACAAGGACCCCAGTTGCACGCCATCCATCTCGCTGCCGGCAGAAACTGCACTTGCAGACTCTTCGACAAGGTGGGCAATGCCAGTTCGGATCCAGCAGAGCATTCCTGACCTCTTCACCAAAACAGTTTCGATGGCAGGGGCCACAGAACTGTCCTCAAACGCCACAGCAGTCTGGGTTTCTGCAGTTTCTTCTGGTATCAAGTCTTCCGACGGTGTTGATGACAAGTGGAGCCCAGTGAACGGTCATATATCTTCTCTCCAGAGTTGCTGCAGATGTTCTCCAAATCTTCCTCTAATTTCTTCCACTGGGCGAATTACATGTGGAAGGGTCAGGGATGACCTGGAGCTACGACTTCTGGGCATGTCATCTTCGTTCATGTAGCTGTCCATGGTCTTCCTCTTTCTCACCAACATGTACTTATCCTCTTCCTCCTCCATGGGTAGGGTGTCAACGGACCCGATGATCCAGGACCTTGACCTGGTAAGAGGATGAGCTCTCCGTTCAGGGTTCCTCCTGGATGCAACACCTGGGAATCTACGCCTTCGAGGTCTCCTGGATTGTGAGTTGGAGCCTCGGAGGGAATGTCTTCCAGGGAACGGGCCAGGGAAGCTTTCTAATTCAGACATGAGTTTTGCAAGCATTGCTTTGTTTCGCTTTACATTTAAAGCCCCTTTCTCCAAAAAATTCATCCCACTTTCATCTTCTGAATCGGAGTTGGAATCAGTCACAGAATTCTCGGAGGACTGTGGGAGCTCTGTTTTTTGTTGGTTGCTCCTCTGGTACTTCGAGCTGGAAACTCCATCGCCACCCTGAGAGGTCCAGAGTGCCTGCACTGGCTGCGGGTCCTACAGCCTTCCCGAACTGACTGCAGCCTCGTGTTTGCAAAATTATCAGAAGGAAAGCTGTCACAACCGTCATCAGAGGATGATGAGGTTTCCATGGAAATTAACTTCACAGTATCTGAATTTCTTTAAGTTCTTTACTCTGAGATCCTTCTGCAGCACGCCATGAGCGTCCATGCTGGCGGTGGGTGCCCAGGCCCGTACGTGGAGCGGAAAGAGCGAAGTAGCCTTGCACTCAGCGGTCCCACAGCAGGAGGAACAGCAGCCGCACGGCAGGCAGACAGGGCGCGCCGACCCCACTTTTCTATGTTTTTACGTTTACTATTACTTACTTTGATTCACCCAACAGTCTCTATTACATATTTTGCTTTCCATTAAGATTCTCCATGGATATAAATTTTTTATAAACAGAATTTATGTCTAACCATTTTAAACTCAAATATACATGACAGCATCGTGTGTATGTATTCTAGATTCTTTGTTACCTTCTTTGCTCTCTTTGTTTTCTGGCAGCTGTGACTAGCACACGTCATGGAGAGTATTATTCCCTGAGAGAAGTTCAACTCCAATGTTCATCTTTTCTTGTTCTATTAATAAAAAACAGACTCACAGGATTTACAAAAAGTCATAATAAATATACTTTAAAAACTATTTTAATTATAATAACTTAGTCTTTCCCGAATGTACCACTATCTTCAGCATTTACTTTCAAATACTTGGATAAACTTCATACATTTCTATGCAAAATGAGAGCCTTAAGGGACCTAATTGTTCCCATATAAAAACAGGATTAGTCTAGGACCACATTAGATCCAAAGAGCATGCAGTACCATGAGACAGGAAAGGAATATATAACAAAAATATTTTCCTTTTTTCTTCTGGTATGGAAACAACTTTTTCAAAATTGTTATATTTTACGTTCTGGGCTACATGTGCAGATCGTGCAGGTTTGTTATTGCTACACAGGTATACATGTGCCATGGTGGTTTGCTGTGTCCATCCCCCTGTCATCTACATTAGGTATTTCTCCTAATGTTATTCCTCCCCTATCCTCCCACCCCCTGCTATCCTTCCCCACCCCCCTCACCTCCCAACAGGCCCTGGTGTGTGATGTTCCCCTCCCTGTGTCCATGAGCTCTCACTGTTCAACACCCACTTACGAGTGAGAACATGAGGTGTTTGGTTTCCTGTTCTTGTGTCAATTTGCTGAGGATGACGGTTTCCAGCTTCATTCACGTCCCTGTGAAGGACATGTACTCATCCTTTTTTATGGATGTATAGTATTCCATGGCATATATGTGCCACATTTTCTTTATCCAGTCTATCATTAATGGGCATTGGGGTTGGTTCCAAGTCTTTGCTATTGTGAACTGTGCACATACATGTGCATGTGTCTTTATAACTGAATGTTTTATAATCCTTTGGGTATATACCCAGTTACGGGATTGCTGAGTCAAATGGTATTCCTAGGTCTAGATCCTTGAAGAATCACTACACTGTCTTCCACAATGGTTGAACTAATTTACATTCCCACCAGCAGTGTAAAAGTGTTCTCATTTCTCCACATCCTTTCCAACGTCTGTTGTCTCCTTATTTCTTAATGATCGCCATTCTAACTGGCATGAGATGGTATCTTAATGTGGTTTTGATTTGCATTTCTCTAATGACCAGTGATGATGAGCTTTTTTCATATGTTTTTTCTATCTAAACAAAATTGTTGGGATTTAAATTTCTTAAGACAAGTGAAAGAAAAAAAGCAAAAAAAAAAAAAACCACAGAAGTGAAACTTTAAAAGCCATTTCATCAAGGGCCCATTTATCCACAACCATATTCAAACCACATATGTATGTGGTTTAAAATGTTGGCTCTAAATTTCGATCTGAGAATCCCTGGAGTTCAAGATCCAGGCAGGGGGTCTAAGAGGTCAAATAATACAAAATGTTATTTGCCATTTTCACTCTCATTCTCTTTCAAATGTACAGTGGAGCTTTACATAGACATGATGTGTCATAACAGCATAGTTCTAATGTCTATTGGAATGTATGGTTGTGCATGCTTGTTTTTTAAATATTTTAGTTTTTATTTCTAAAATAGCAAATATCAATAGATACAACCAACTAAAAAGCTCTTTGGAATCTGCAATCATTTTATTTATCTATCATTATGAAAAGGGCTTAACTGAGATCCAGTAATTTGATAGAAAACCAGAGCTTCCTGTGTCAATAAGGACTGACCTCAATAATGTAATGTGACCAGACAAAAGAAAGTTGCAAAATATGTAGAGTGTACAACAATTTATATACACTTTTAGGACATAAAAACAAATTCTACAT